CTTAGATTAGCAACAATTATTTCCCAGCAAGACCGGTATAGAGAGTCTCCTGAAAAGCTCAGTTTTGGCCAGCTACTCAGATTTAATGGAACATTTTTAATCTTGATAGGAAAAGGAAAATGTAATCTAGCTTAAAGTATGGTTATATCTACCTGTTTGGCAGGAATCTTAAATGTATAAACTTTCAAAACAATCAAAATGTATATTTTCTTAAAAAATAATAAGCCAACCCCAAACCTTTAACCTGCTGTTAAATTTAAGGAGGTCCTAAATGGTAGGAAATATAATTTGAAGATATTTTTGCCACTTAACATTTAGTTTATGTATATTGAGTGGTCTTTAAAAAGCTTCGTATCAGAAATAGGCTTCCATCAATAAGTCTCTAGAATTTATGCTCCACAACAGTACATGTCTCTGTGCTGTCAAACATACACGGACCTTTTGGAAGACCCTGGAGATAGGCAGTCTAGGTAATACCATACAGTGAAAAGGATTGCCCTTTTCAGAGAGCACAGTGGTGTGTTAGCAAATGTTACAAGCATATTAAAATCAGAAATGTTGGACTCCAAGGATTCTATTAAGTATCTCTTACTTATTTTATTGTAGAATAAAGAAAACCTATTTTAAAATATTCTTAATGAAGTATAAAATGGAGGTAACCCTGCTGCTGTTTGATTCTATAAAATGTCAGTAATATTCCTAAAATCATTATATAATGAAAATATATTTTACATAGTCTCAGAATAGCACAAGACATATAGGTTTCCAGAGTTCTCATGAAAGAGATAATTTGGATTTCTGTAGACAATTAGATAAAATTATTAATAAAAACACCTAGTATTTAGAGTATACCTCACAAAGGTAACTTTTAACATACAATCATAAAGTTCAGATAAACCAGAACCTGGTTTTATTTTAGATTTCATTTGGCAATTTTTCATAGCATCTAGCATGAAGTTTTCAATGCATGGTTTAACTACAGTATATTCTGAATTCAGAATCAGGAAAGGTAAACAAATTATGTATTCCAACTGAAAATCTATTCCAAGAACTCCAAGATGCAACTAAGCTCTCATCCAGTAGGCTACCATATTTCATTCTGAGATGTACTGCTTACAACCCAAATTCTGCACAATTCTAATATTAAAATCACCTTTACTGACCACCCCTCTCCTCCAACCAATGCACCTCAACTGAGACCTACAAGAACTTTGCTTTAAGACTATCAGCTTCAGGTCCACAAACCTTGCTCCCTCCTCCTCTTTGGCTTAATGCTTAAGACCACCCACACAACCTTCTATCAACCATACTTCTAAATCTAAAGTTCCTTTCATTTTAAACAGTCCCTAAAATAAAATCTTCTCCACAAAAATTAAGTGATAAAATGTTTCCCTAAATTTTACCCTCAAAATGAAAATCGTTTGCAAGTCTTCACTACTCAATAATGTGTACTTTCTCAATAAGTATTTGCTTAACACTATTTTTAATGTATTTCTTTTCCAAACTGATTTATTCTTTCAATATGTTGTCTCCACGACTATATAATTACCTAAGATTATAAGCTTTCAGAGGTCTGACACAAAACACTAACTTACATGGAATAACACATAATATAATGCCATGCTAACTTAAACAAACATGTTTCACAAATGTTTTTCAGCTGAGCTCTGAAGCTCAAATTCTCTTTCATGTTTTGTGGTTCTAAAGGTGTGATGTATTACATCTTGAGAGAGTACATAAAAGTCATTGTTAAGAAGACAGCATCAGTTATGAGTGGGCTCTAGAGTAAAAAAACTTGGGATCATATTCCAATTAAGTTACAACCTGTTACCTTCAACATGTTATTTAAACCCTCCAAATGTTTGTAAAAGACAATCCTACAGTATCTACCCCAAAAGGTTATTAAGATTAAAATGTGTAACTTCTCTAAAATAACAGTGGTTACTATTCCCAGAGATCAATCATATGATTTGCCTAGGACAGTTCTGGTTTACATCTGTTATCCTAGTGTAAATAATAGCTCCTCCCTACCCTCTAGCTCCTTCGTTCTCAAAAGTAACCTGGTTCAGATAATAAAATACATAATTAGCTGTGCTAGTTATTGAACTACTTTTTCTCCCCACAACTCCAAACCACTATTCTATACTCAAACTGTGTAATACTAGGGCTAGGACTATGAAAACTACATTTCTCCCTTGCCACCTGAATTTTTGTTAGGCTCCACTAATAGCAGCACTAGAAGATAAAGACATAAAGGCAGGAGAGGGAAAGAATCTTGCTGTTTCCTGTTTGCTTGTTATTCCTGCCAGCATTCCCAGAGCAACAGCTTTTCATTCCAGTAGCGACACTTAGTTCGTCTCCAGCTTTTCTCAGCATTCCCCATACCAGCCTCATCATTCCCTATCTACACTACTACCACTTACCAGTGGCCCCTCCTCAGATGTCTGAGTCCCTGCTCTGCTGAAGCTCTCCCCAAAGTGTCTAGTAACCACAACCTCTATCTTGGTTCCCTAGGCCTAGGGGTGGTAGCTGCCACCTGAAGTTATGTGTCCTTTCTGCTTTTGTTTTGGTTCTCCAGTACCAATGTAACCCATTCCTTATATTACACTGTTAAAATTGTAATACGTTACACATTGTGGTTTTTTAAATTATTTTTTCTTTTTCACATTGGTCATCAGAACATTGTAAATGATCTTTAAAAAACACATCACTATTAAATCCCTAAGAGATTTTATTTCCAGTGACTAGCATCAAAGCTTACCAGGAAACCAGAGTAGCAATGCACTAAGCAAGTTTAGTAGGTAACAACTTTCTCACATCATGAAATGCCACTGCATAGTAAGTAGGATCATAAGGATAAATACGACAAATACCTACTTCCCTCTTTTAACAGAAAAAAATCACTCTTCATACAGTCAACTGCACTAGCCAGTATTTTTTCCTTTCCACTCTACAGTTACTGATTATGAATACTAGAAGAAACAACAATAATTCATATCCTACTGTAAGGCAAGTCTTCCACAAACATAAAGAGCCCAGATGAGCACTCTTCTCTAACCCACAGTAAGAGAAGAAACAAAGGTGCTAGTATCCCAAGGAGAAGTATACTAAGAAAAAAGATGGCCGGGTGGGGTGGCTCACACCTGTAATCTCAGCACTTTGGGAGGCTGAGGCCGGCAGATCACCCGAGGTCAGAAGTTCAAGACCAGCCTGGCCAACATGGTGAAACTCCACCTCTACTAAAAATACAAAAATTAGCTGGGCGTGGTGGCAGGCGCCTGTAATCCCAGCTACCTGGGAGGCTGAGGCAGGAGAATTGCTTGAACCCAAGAGGCAGAGGTTGCAGTGAGCCAAGATCACACCATGGCACTCCAACCTGGGGGACAGAATGAGACTCTGTACCCCCCCCAAAAAAGAAAAAAGACAAAATATCTATAAAGTGGCAAAAAATAGCTTCACTATTCCAATAAAGTCATAGAAGACTCGCAAAAGTAGATTTACTTTTACTGTTTTATTTTTCACTTTCCTGGAAATCAATATATTTCATGATCAAGACAGAGGCAACTCATCAGTAAGTGTGATAAAAATGTTTTAATTTCAAGGTCTGTTGCCCTGAATGTTGTTATGACTGTGACCATTGAATTTGTATTCAAAATTAAGTTTTACTCTAGTTAACTTGCTGATATAGTTTGTGTATCTATCCCCACCCAAATATCATGTTGAATTGTAATCCCCAGTACTAGAGGTGACGCCTGGTGGGAGGTGATTAGATGTCCTCACAATAGTGAGTTCTCACGAGATCTGGTGGTTTAAAAGTGCTTGGTATTTCTCTTACTTGCTCACTCTGGTTTTCACCACATGATATGCCTGCTCCCCCTTTGCCTCTACCATGATTGTAAGCTTCCTGAGGCCTCCCCAGAAGCAGATGCTAGCACCATGCTTCCTGTAAAGCCTGCAGAACCGTAAGCCAATTAAGCCTCTTTTCTTTATAAAATACACAGTCTTGGGTATTTCTTCATAGCAATACAAGAATGACCTAATATATACTTGCTTTCTAGATAACTGTTTGAAATGTCACTACTGCTGTAGTGTTCCCTACTGATTTTGTGTTAAATTTCTAGTGGACAGCCCTTAATGTAATACTCTTAAAAGGCTCACGTTTAAAGTGCCTCAAATTATACTGTACTTTAAACTTAAAATTTAAAACAAGAATTCTAAAGAAAGATTGCTGAAATAGACAACTCAATTCCCTTCCTGGGACAGCCCATAACACCAAGTACTAGATTATGAGTGAAGGATCCATATAGGTACTATTTTTCCTATGATCCATCTCCATAACCACTTGTTTCCCCCTAACATACACTTCTACAAGGCAGAAGAGCCCACCAATGCTTGGAAAGTCTGTCTCTACTATTTCCTGGTGAATCACAGACTGTTCCTTTATATAGGTTAAACATAGACTTAAATTATTTCTGTGGCTTACAGCTTTCTATTTTCACCACTGTGACATTTAATTGAATGATAATTATCTTAACAAATCAAAATTCCAAAATTTAAATCTCTCACTTAGTCAAGAAGTTAGAGAATTCAAATTGTATTCATTCAATTCGTTTGAGGAAATATTCAGAAAAAAATTAACTTTCATACTTACATTGATACCAAAAGAGTTAAGAAACATAATACACAAGGATAAATGGGTCTATCTAGACAATACTTATTCCCTCTAAACTCAAAGACAGGACTCTTAAAAAAGAAATCAGGCTTATATTGAGTCATCTTGTATTAAAATATAGACTGTCAAAATTGATGAAATGTTAGGTAATGGAAAAATGTGCCATTCTATTGCTATTTGTATTTCAATTTTTGTTTCAGAAACTAGTAAAATTATAAAGAGGAGATTTAAGAAATACACTCTTGAGGGTTAACAGATACTAGGAATAAAAACAAATTTACCAAACTTTAAAATACTAATAAAATAAGTATTTTATTAATGAAAGTCTGGAAAACGTGTGCACCAAAATAAAAGTGACTATTAATGTTAAATTAAAAAATCTTCAAAGAACACATATCACATATTCAATTTTTAAAAACTTTATATAAAAGCTCTATTATAAATACAAAGCTAAACTATCTGAGTACTAACAACATACTTCATACAAAGAAACTTAACAGTAGTAAAATACAAATACATAAGATGCTTATTTTTGGTCCTTTTGGATAAAAGAACTAAGTTGGTTTTTTTCAAATGGCTCCAGGCACAAAAATAGAATATAAGATGATACCTGCAACATTCTTAGTGTTTATCCTTGTAATTCTTTAAATGTCACCAGTCATAATAGCAATGAACTCCTCTTGGTTTACTGTGGTAAGAAAGAAAATGAAACAGTCAGAAATATAAACATTTTATTTTTTCAGAGTCCAGGACTACCATTTTACACTAAGTATTTAAAAAATTTTACATTATGCAAAATTGTTACATCAAGACATGGCTTTTTGCTTTTACTTCGTTAGGCAGTGGAACATGTTTATTAAATGTAACTTCTTGAATGCAAAAGTACATATAATGTGATAAACATTATAAATTAGTATTCTATAATATTAACTGGGGAAAAGATAATGTTACCAAAAAAGTCAATCACAGTCATATTTGTATATACTTGCTAAAACATTTTAAATGCTTGACATTTCAAAGTTCTTTAAACAATCTTCTTTATAATCTTTATTCTACTAGTTCATTTAGCAAATTCTTCTTTACAAGTAAGCTTGAACATATCATGCATGTAAATTAGATTTCTAAAGAATGAAAATATATTAAAATTATAAAAATAAGAAATTATTATTTTTTGAACTTTTATATGCTTAAAAGCCTATGTTAAAGAATAATTAAAACCAGGTCACCATACCTCAAAAGTATCAATAAAAATGGCAATTTGAAAAGATTACAGATTTAATCTTAATCGCCAAGGTAATCCAGCAACTATATAGATGTAAATGCAGAAAATAATCATGGATAAGGACTAATATTTAGTTTGCCAAAATTATAAATATAGTAAGAATCTCCAATTTATAAAACATAATGTTTAAGACAGCAACCTAGAAATAAGAAATCAGATAATCTTATTGAATATAATTTTGAAAACCCAATATATGCACACATATCAATTAAGAAAAATGTTCAGAAGATACTTCTACTAAGTATTTAGCATTTAGCCCTAAGACTTAATACTACCTAAGCAAGACACAAGTTATGAATGATAATTTTGATAATGCCAAAAGAAAACTACAGACATTAAGACCTGGTTTCTAGTCATAGCTCTGCACAGAACAGTTCTACATCTCATTTCCTTCATCTCAAAACACTGAACTATGAGATGATGTTTTAGATTGTTTAACTCTTATTTACCATAGAAGGTATTATATGAAAATACTCCATTGAATCAAACATTTTTAAGTGGCTAGTGAATGCTAACACCACAATAAGTGTTGTGTAATATACCAAAACAGACACCAGGCTTCCTATTCTGGTACACATTAAAACTGAAATGAGAAAGATACTATATGATATTATAAAATTATTGTTAACTTTCTTAAGTGTAACATTGGTATCATAGCTTTATAAAAGATATATCCTTGTTCTTAGTAGATGGATATGCTAAAATATTAAAGGATCAAGCTTTTTTGTTTTATTATTAAAATTTAATTAATTAATTAATTAATTAATGAGACTGGCTAACTTTTGTATTTTTGGTAGAGACGAGGTTTCACCATGTTGCCAAGGCTGGTCTTGAACTCCTGGGCTCAAGCAATCCACCTGCCTCAGCCTCCCAAGGTGCTGGGATTACAGGCATGGGTCACGGTGCCTGGCCTAAAGGATTGAGTTCTTAATATATGAAATTTATTTTCAAATGATTGAGAAAAAAACATACACACGACAGATAAAGCAAATGCAGTAAAATACTAATTATTGAATCTAGGCAGAAGGTACAATGGTGTTCACTGTAGTAGTCTGACAATTTTTCTCTACGTTTGAGAATATTCATAATGAATAGTTAGAAAAAATTAGCCAATTAAAAAATGTTGAGGAGATAAAACATGGTCACAGGGAATGGAAAGAATATATACTGCACTGGTTTTAGAAACCACATAGAAAACCAGTTTCGATAACTATGTTAGTCAGTTTTTATACTTGAAACAGAACAAATGTTTTATAACACCAAATCCTATTTATTATTAAAATAAAGACTAAATCAGTGTTGAAAAAAATCCTTCACAATGGTAAAAATTATTACTAATGAGAAAAATTCAGGTGAAGGTAAGTCACTACTTGGGCTCTAAAATAAAAATACAGAATTTGGAAAGGATGTAGAAAGGGAGCTGGGGTGGGAGAATACCATCAGAAATACAGTCAAGAAAGAGAATAGTGTATGCCTCACAGAAATAAGCTACGAGTTAGGAAAAATGCACCCTCCAGAAGCTGACAGGGAACTACGAATCCATGCAATCAGTATTTAACATCTATAAAACACTATGACAGACATAGAACGTAATACAAAATCTATAATACTCTCAAACTACTTTCAAGAATCTTACAAATTGAAGTAGTGATCTTTAACCTTTGCAGTTAAATAGCCATGTCTGCATATCTTAGGAAAGCTATTATCTCTCTCTGTTTCCAATAAATAAAGCTCAAATATATAAAATTATTAATCAATTCAGCCAGTGTGCACCTTCACTGAAGAACCCCCGATTTAGACTGAGACATCTAGACCAAATAGGAAGCAAGAGTATGTTCTTAAGAACTGTATTAAGAGAAAAAACATAAAACAGTCTTAGAATGATTTGATTACAAATCATTTTAACAGTATAATACAGCCATGATTAAAATATTCAAAATCCAAAAAGTACTTGTTACTTAAAGATCTAGAACTTTTTCTTGATCTGTAAAATTTCAATACTCAAACTGCACATTTTAAGCTTCATATAGAAGTTTGAAAAACACAAAACACTTAATTTTTATATTGTTTATACATAAAAACTTTAAATTATAATAGCATTTCAAACGTATTTAAAACTACAGTCAGTCTTCTGTAACCACAAGTTCCTCACATCTGCAGATTAAACCAACTGCAATGAAAAATATTTGGGAAAATAATACAATAAAAAAATACAAATAAAATAAAGTATAACTATTTACATAGCATTTACATTGTATTGGGTATTATAAGTAATCTAGAGATGATTTAAGGTATACAGGAGGATATGTGAAAGTTATATGCAAATACTATGCCATTTTATACAAGGGACTTGAGCACCATAGATTTTGTCATCCTTAAGCGACTTGGAACCAATCTCCTGTGCTCATCAAGGGACAACTGAATTCCATGATTCATACCTAAAAACATAATACTTAAACCCCAAAAAGTAAAAATTAGAAAGTGGCTCAGGAAATTAAACTAGCTACTTTACTATCAGAGAGTCTTGTAGGCAGTTAAAAAACAATCTCCTATACCTCTGTACATTTGGTTTTATAACCTTCTCTATTAATATCTTAAATCAAGTTCCTATATCTAATAAATCTACCACAATGCCTAGCTTAAAATAAGCATTTGGTAAAACATTTATTGAATCAAGAAAATACGACACTTTGTTTCCTTTTATATTGCCTTCAACAAAATTTTTCATAAATCAACCATTTCATAGAGCAAATCTTATTATAAGTTGCTAACAATAGGAATTTTAGAGAACCAAGTAGATTAAGTACCTTAGAGACCATCTGGCTTTGAAGGGGAAAAGCAAATCTTAGAATTCAAAATTCCAACTGAGTATGTTGCTAATACACTGCTTCCTATAATAGTATGTAATTTTTAAAACTCCATAAACATAGAAGTCTAGTTAATATTTTACTTCATAGCCCAAGAGGCAATACAATATTATATTTAAAAGCACATTCTTTGCCATTATGGAGATCTGATTTTGAGTTCTGGCTCTACCATGTACAGTATTAGCTTTGTGATAACCTGGGACAGACTATTAATCTCTCAAAGCTTTAGTTTCCTCATCTATATATATACATCTATTACACGCATGTATAGGTATATTATATCTACTTTACAAGTTATTATGGAAATTAAGTGACATAATTCATGCTAATATCCAATACAGTAACTGCTAAATAAATGTTAACAAACATCATCATTATTTAAAAGATGATCCATTCTGGCTTTTCAAAACGTTCCTTTCATTTTTTCCAAAAGATGTGCTGTGTTTTATTTTATATATGTTGTGGGGGGGGCGGGGGAAGTGACTCTTTCTGTATCATTATTACAGCTTTATGTCTATCTTGTAGTACATCTTATTTACCTTTAACTTCACATTCGCCATGTTTATTATTTTATATACCCAATATTTTTAAAATTTCATTGCTCTTAGATACCAAAAAGCATGAAAAAGTCACAAAGACAGAAGAATACTAAAGTTCACAAAAAAACAGCAAGGTCTAATCTTTAGCAGTTTAACATACAAATAAAGTGGTTTTTATCTCAATAAAACTTAAGTTTCCAGCCAAAAGATTCCATATTAAGTGTATGAAAGTATCAAAACAATCTGTTTCTCTAAATGCTATAGGCCTTCAATGGAAGTCTCATGATTCATACACAGAGTGTTATGGGAAGCTTTTGAGAAAAAGATGGTGTTTAATACGTACCTGAGAGAATGAATCACATTTCAGCAGGCAGAAATTAACAATTAGAGCATTCTTAAGAAACAGCATGATGAAATGAATAGCATAAAAATGTGTTTTCAGGATAGAGTATTTTGACAAAATGTGTACATACAGGAGGTGAGGGTTAAAGAAGAAAAGTGGAAGAATACACTGGGAAATAAAATTACTCAAGGTAGGACAGATGATAGAAGGCTTTGAAGTTTACTCTGTAGGCACTGAAGAATCGTTCCAAGTGTTCGAACAAGGAAATGGCATTATCAAATGTATATTTTAGGAAAAGAATGAGACCAAGAGACTGAAGAAGAGATTAGAGACTTTTATATACCTAAAGGGCAATCAGGACACTACAAGAGACTGCAAAGTGAAAGCAGGAACCACATCTGCCTTTTTCATTGTGTAGCACCAGTCAACACACAGGACACTGCACCCAGTAGGCAGCCAAGGTAAGAATAAATGAGGCCATTATAACATTCCTAATTAGAAATTAGGGCCTGAACTAGGACAGCCACAGTGGACAAAGATAAAAACAGATTCAAAACATTTGAAGGGGAAAATCAATAGAACTTAGAACTTAGCATGTAGGTTGAGGGAGAAGCCATTAAAGACTGAAATTTTATTGAAAGGCTGAAATTTTGGTGATGTTTCACCTTCAGAGAAAAGTGAGGTACCTTCTTGAAGTGTAATTGGTTTTAGAGATCTGCTTCATTCTAAACTGAATATGTGAATTATTTAGACAGAAGGCCCATTACAAGAAGCGGTAAGTTTACAAAAAAATCTTGCAAGTCATTTGTTTTTAGAAAAATGTATTACATGTGAAGCATCAGGAATACTTGGAACATATGTTTCACTTAAAACTTACTTTCTCCATCACCATCTTTGTCAAATTCTTCTATCATAGCTCGAAGCTCTTCATCACTCATGTTTTCACCCAATTCTCTAGCAACACGTCGCAAATTCCTCAAGCTTATTTTACCTGAATCATCATCATCAAATAGTTTAAATGCCTTGAGTATTTCTTCATGGGGATCTCTTTCCAATATCCAGTCTGTCACTACAATTTAAAAATATATATTTTTTAATAAACCTGCATAGTCACAAAGGCATTCATTTGTGATATCAACTAAATATTAGATGAGAATTAAAGCTGTGACTGTCAACATTTAGTCTGACAATAAAATGTCAAATGAGATCCCCAAACCCCGAGATAAACCTGAAATTAGAAAAACCAAATCCATATTTTGAATGTTAACCTTTTTATTATGAGCAACTTGTCTTATTAAAAAAGTAAGCAAAACTATATCACATAGAGGCAAAATTAAAAGACTACATTTATTCCATATTTATTTAAGATCTACTATAATCAAGAATTGTACTAGGCTCCACTGACATCAAGCACACAAGGAGTGTGTCATCTACTTGTGGAGAGACATACCAACAAAATAACTGGAGCTAACTAAATAAAAGCTGCTTGCTAACTAAATGTCATACTAACACTGATTCTTCCTCAAATTTAATCCAACTTCAAAACAAGAAAAACTGCAAAAGACAAAAAGTACTGCCATCGCAGACACAGGCACAATCTCAAGAGAGCAGATGAAAATTCCACTAATACCTTCGTGATTAGAAGAACAGCTTGGTTTTCCAAAATTTAGAAAGTAGTAAATAGGATCAAATCTGACTATAGCAGGAAAGCCCACCCAAAAAAAAACCTCTGGAAAGAAGGTCTCCTTAAAGCTTACCCGTTTTGTTTGGATAAATCACTCTCAGACAACTAACTAAAAATAAATGTAGTTTCAAACCTCAATGGTAATTGTGTATTTTAATACACTAAATATAATCATATATAACAACATAGTAATAAGCTTAAGTATTTTCAATTTTACCAGTCTTCAATCAATAGCCACAATAAAAATTAAAATAAAAATCTGTGGCATAAAAATTGTTAAGTTACTAAATAAAATTCTAACAATATCTAAATAAATATCTCTGAAGTAATTATATACACTACCTGCCACTACAAGAAAAGGTATTTATGGCCTTTACTATGCTATTAAAAATAACTCGGTCCTGTTAAAGGTTACAGAATCATTTAAAAAAAAAAAAAAAAAAACTGCTTATAGATGGAAAATACTGGAATGTTTAAAGAACCCAGAATGAAAAAAATACAATCAAAATCTCCAACAAGTTATTGTTTTGTAGCTGTTTCACCTATATTAGGTTCAATAATCACCTATTCAAATGACTATTATATCATCTACACATATTTTCAATAGTTTCCTTTTATCCATTAATTTTATCCAAAAAGGCTGCCAAGTAACTAATTGAAGTATATTACTGTAAGTATGCAAATCATCAAAGCTCATAAATATTCAGTCAAAAAGGAGCTGGCATATCTACAGCCATAACACCAAAATAAAATACCACACTTAACTCTATGGCACATACTCAACTTATTTTGAATTTAGTCCCAACAAAAAAGCAGGACAAGGAAAAAAAGTGTTAAGAAATTTTCTTCACCAATTAAATAATTTACATGACAGGTGAACCAAAAAAGCAGCTTGCTGAAAGTATTAATGTACTTAAAGAAGCAACAGGGTGATTGGGGAACAGATGGGGCTCCAAGATGTATAAATTCTTATCCCACTGGTACTTTAATTGTGTTAGTTATTTCAGAGCTATGTGTCTATATATTCTTTTATCAATATTCTTCCTTAAAATGCAGCTTTTCTTGGGAATTATAAATGCTCATCATTTTGGACAGCAAAAACATTACCTAATATATAACTTTATAATGATTCTCCTCCATGCCTTCATGTTCTATTCTTGTTCCACAAAGTAGAATTTAATTACAAGAAATATATTTATTTTCAATGAAAATATTAGTAAACTGATATAGAGGCAGTTAAGGTGGGTTTCATTTATTTCACAAAACTCCAAATTTCTGTCCATGTAACTGTATTTTCAAATGATTTAATTACACATACTATCAGAAATGTACTTCTTCAAAACACTTTCTTAGACCTTTCATGTGTAAAAATCACTTAAGAATACGGCAAATCCAAAAACATCACATCAAAAGTAAATTAAAAATCATTGTAGGTAATGCTAGAAATACAGCTTTAACTGTATTTCTCAATGTCTTTTGGAAATTTCTATCCAAACACACCAGTGAGACATGTTGGACTCCAAACTCATTCCACTACCACCACAGTAACTGTAGCTGCCTCCTCTACCCCCACCAAAAGACAACAGCAACATTTACAGCCAGATTCCATATGTGAAAAGTATAAATCATTTTCAGTCCCATAAACTTAATCAGGTCCTATAGTACTGAGAATACTATTTTTTTTATTTTTATTGTTTTGAAACAAGGTCTCGCTCTGTTGCCCAGGCTGGAGTGCAATGGCATGATCCCAGCTTACTGCAGCCTCAACTCCTGGGCTCAAGCAATTTTTCCACCTCAGCCTCCAAAGCAGCTGGGACTACAGGCATGTGCCATCACATCTGGCTAATTTTTTTTTTTTTTTTTTTGTAGAGACAGGATCTCACTTTGTTGCCCCGGCTGGTCTCAAACTCCTGTGAGCAAGCAATCCTCCCGCCCTGACCTCCCAAAGTGCTGGGATTACAGGCATGAGCCACCAAGCCTAGCCTCTTTTTTATTCTTAAATGTATTTTCTTTTCACGCTCGCCATCCTCAGCATAAAAAATAGTATTTTCTGTCTGCAGTCTCTCTTCCTTCCAATGCATCATCAATAATACTCTCATCAGTTTTCTTTCTCAAATATATCATATCCTCTTCCCTTAAAAATTGTGAATGATCCTCTGCTAACTAAAATTCAAAATCTTTTAAGTTTCGCAAGACTTTACCAGTCTGGCCCAATCCTACACTTCCAGCTATTTCCCTATCGTCTAGCCCAGAACACTATCTAGTTTCCCAAACATGCTATGCTTCTAGTACCATTCTTTGTTGTTGCTGCTTTCTAAGCCTAGAATGCTTTTTCTCTACTCTTCCTGGCAATCTTGGAATGAAATCCTCCTCACGTTTCCAAAGGCCTAAATTTAAAATCTCCTCTGCAAAGTCTTCAATTCCTCTATATCAGGGATTAACAAATCTTTCCTGTAAAAGGCCAGACAGTAAATACTTTAGGCTTTGTAGAGGGGCATAAAGTCTCTACTCACTCTGCCATAGCAGCACAAAAGCTGCATAAAAGAATGGGTGTGGTGGTGTACAAGCAGCAGCTGAATTTGGTCCAAAGGCTATAATTGCTGACTTCTGTCCTAGACAAAATTACAATTTACCACATAGTACTATAGCCTGTTGTCACCTATATGTACACTGTAAACTCCCTGAAAGAAGAACCTCTTAGTAACTTTTAATTACGTCTTCTTCCCAACCCCAGTACAGTACCTAATACCAAAAAATTCAGTGTTAAATAAGCAAAATGAAGACAATAATACACTATTATAATCTGAATCAGCAATAAGTAGTATATGTCAAAAATAGTGTACAAACGTTTGACTTACGTTGGTGTTAAAGACAGAATTCCTAAAACATCTATGTTACTCACTAGCCTCAGGTTGTCTTGACTCTAAACTTACATTAAATATATTTTAAAGCTTTTTTCCAGTACTAGGAAGAATCTATAATAGTTAACTGCCAAACTTCATCCAGATATATCTGTGGAACAGTATCCTTGAGTAGTTCATAAAACTAGGACTCAAATGTTAAGATTTAGAATCATTTGTCCCAAAGTACAAAACATATTAATCTGTGGTCAGTGATTAGTTAAAAATAATCAACAAAAGGGGAAATACATAGTTCTTGACTGATTCCCAAACAGTAATAAATTTTTATTTTACACCTGGTACTCTCCATAGGTAGCCTTAAGATAGCTAAGATAGGTGTTGACCCTGTCAAAAGGTTAATCTTTGAGTGTCAAAGCTGAAGTTTAGCCACATCTATTTATTCTAAAGGAACCCAGTATTTCTGCTCTGTTAATAACATAGAACAGATAGGGCATCAGGAAAAAGTGGAGGTGGCATGGGATTCTGGTCCCAACTGCCAATAAAAAATCACAATTTCAAAATTGTATTCATTTAAGATGAAATAAAATATTTTGTAAAATTATTAGTGATGATATAGTGTTTACAATAGCCTTTATGAAAAAAAGTCAATAAAAAGTATACACAGAGTCTATTTTATGTCCCAGTGATGCATATATGATTATTTTGAGCCCCTGAAACAGAGACAATTTTTTAAAGTAATAATAATAACAAATGCTTAGTAGCACTTACAACATGCTAGGCCCTTTTCTAGGTACTTTACATGTTATTAACTTAATCCTCAGAAGAATCTCATGAGAGAGTACAATGATCCCCACCTTATAGTTGAAAATGAGGCACAGGGTATTAAAAAGACCAAGTTCCAGAGCTATAAAGTGGCAAAACCAAGGTATGAACCAACAGAATCTGGTTCCAAGTGCTAAACCACTATACTGTACTAAACATACCTGGATTATAGCTCCTTCCTAATAGTATCATTTCCACTGTATCCTAACATCTTGTTTCTACAAATAAACAATCTAAGGTAAAACTAGGAATACTACGATTATAAACTTCAGGAGAGTGTCCATTCTGGGAGAACAAAAGGTGGCTCTCTCCTTCTCCTCAAATAAAAAATTCTACAAATTAGAGGAAAAAAGGAAAATGTCCCCAACAGACAAGTTGCCTCTCTAAACAGTTATATATTAGTTCGTAAGTTGAGTATCTTCTGTGCTGTATTTTTTCTCTTAGGTTTATCATTTATTTTCCATCTCAACTGCTTTTGACTTGAGCGTTTGGATTCAAAAAACTAATGACATGAATCTAAATTTTCTCTGCGTATACTAATTGCCATTTCTTTTTGCTTCCCATATTGCTTCTTGATGAATATTTAAAAGAAGGGGTTTGTGTATATAACAGAATTTGTTTCCAAATATCTTAAAATACTTATATGATGTGCTTATATCGTGACCCATTGGTTTAGGGGGAAAAAAATAGAAATAAACCTGAATATTTATATATTTTGTAGGTAATATCCTAGACAATAGTAACGCCCTTGCCTTCCAGACTCTTCTATTTTGAAAAAGCCTGCTCTATGTATGCTATAAATAATTCACTAAAATCAACTACACAAAAATTTAGCCATATTAAGCCTATGACACATTATCTTCAGTTGGTGGTACCAGGATGTTTTCTCCTGCTTGCAGTATGCCCACTGCCTCCTTTACTACTACCCTCTAAACAGATGACTTTATCCACTAAGATCAAGGTCATCCAGAGGATGTAGCCTCTCATAAACTTTGTCAACCTGAAGTCACGCATTTCATCTACGGCCAAAGATACCAACTACTACCAGTTCCCTCTTCTCCCACTTAGCCAGCAAAAATCACATACCAGAAAGGTCTTGGGAAACATTTTCCAAACAGCAGGATATCAAATTTTCTGTTTTACTGAGCAAAAATAATTTTTTGATCACCCTTCAAGTTTTATCACATAATATAAATACAAATAACTTGGAAAAGCATCTTTCCATAAAAAGCTACACAGTAGTTCCTTGGCTAGAATCTTCACAACAAAACAAAAGACAAAACTATAAATCTCAGAGCAAAGCCATATTTTTTCTTTGAAAATGAAAAAAGTAAAATAACCCAAACAAAACTGAGTAAGAGTCACATTATACACCAGTGTTCTATAAGAAAATTCCATAACCTAGAGAATTTAAAATTTAAAAAGTCATATTAATCAGACAATTTCCTAACAGCTGCTGATTACAAAGACTATTAAAATACACACCAACTTCATTAAAATCTTCAAAGGTGATTTTCCCTGTGGCTTCTCTGTCATAATCTTTAAGAATCTTCAGTACATCAGCTTTTTTTACATCAAACCCCAAGGCTCTCATTGCCACCTTTTGGATTAAAAGGGAAAAGCAAATTATAAAGCAATCTTTACAAAAGAATTTCTAATTATTAAGTTTTTACATCTTAAGAGATAAAAACACATTAGTAAAATATAACTTTTTTGCATGTTTTACCTCTTTAAAATAGCAGTGACAGTGTAATTGTTCTTCACTACTGAAATTATGTATAAGTTTTTTCATTTATAAATTGCATTTTTATATGACAAAGTAACCAACAAGTGTTTACTATATAAAATGCACTAACTTACTGCACAGATAATTTGACTGCTATTTGTTATCACGGGATTAACAACCAAAATGAGAAAAAGGCATAGCATAAATATTAAAGTTATATGATAGAAGAGATAAAACATTAAAATAAGAATTATCATCAGTAACTCCATGATTAGTTATTAGGTTAATAATAGGGCGAAGGACCCTGAGTTTAGACAAAAAAGAGACTTTGTTACTAGTAACAAGGAAGGAAACATGTTACTGACTAGATAAGTCTTATTTGGAAAGATTCAAGTTGTTCCTTGAAGGACAGATGAAGAGGAGCAGTAGGGCATTTGGGAAGGATGACTAGTATTAAAAGAAACACTGAAATGAACAATAGGTTTGAAGGACAACGAACAGAGCAGTTTACCTCACCTGAATTAGAAGAGTTCAGGTGAGATAAACTGCTCACCTGGATTAGAAGGTGAATTCCACGTGAATTAGAAGAGTTTGGGAGGAAGAAAGCAGTTAGCAAATGAAAAAAGTAGTTGGTGGCAAAAGTGTAGAGAACATTCAGTAGAAAGCAAAGGAATCTGAACTTTAAGTAGTATATAATGAGGAGTTATTAATAGTAAAGGCTTATGAGCAACGAACAATTTATAAGCAATGGTGAAAGATTTTTTAAACTATCTAAATTCAGTGGTAGTAGTATACAAGGTGAACTACAAGTAGACAAACCATTTAGGAAGCTCCAGGTATGAAATAAGGTCTGAAACCAGTCAATGGTTACTAATGGAAGAGACACTATAAAGGAAGAATTGATCAAATCTGGGTAACCAAAACCAAAAAACAAAAACAAAAAACAGTGGGAAAAGAGAGCTAAAGAGGACTGCAAGATTGAGAAAGCTAGACTTACAGGCCTATTAATTGTTTTTATACATTCTATACTGTTACCGCATAGTTCGTATCCCTACTTGGAATTCTAATGCTTAAAAATCCCTTAAGAAATTACAAAAATTAAAACTATCAAATAAACACTTACATTCACCTATCCATTAAGGCTATTAAAAATCTCAAAATACTATCTTTCCCACTGTGCTGAAAGTAAGTCCCGTTCTACCCTAAACCCAAATCTCTCCTTATACCCTGACAAATAATAATTTACAAATCCCTCTCTACACCTTGACATTCTAGGTCTTAAAGTTGACATTTTTACCTACAAGCATGTGTCAACATCAAACAGCACTGAAGTTGTTTGTACCACAGAAAGTGGATTGAGACTATGTTACTAACAAATACAAATTATAAGATTAAAAGACAACAATCCCACAATCTGAAAACAGTATGAGTCACCAAGAAACAAAAACAAAAACAAAAAAAACAGTGAAAAGAATATGGTAATAGTTTAAATTCCAGTTTGAAATCCTTTAATTATGTCAGTGAAAAATAAGCACCTTCCCTAGGAATGTATTGTTACATTTAAAATGCTATTCGTTTTATCACGTGAAAAAGATTTTCTAAAAACTGTGTTAGGAGTTCTATTCAGTATTATTATAGAATCTAACTATGAATGCTTAAAATGCCTTCATAGTTCCAAAACCAATTTAGTTAAAATAATTACTTAGAAATGTAATGTAAAGCAACTGTCAAAATGCAAATCATTTTAACACAGAAACAAGTATTTTAAAGTATACCATTACCTTTAATTCATGATAATCTATTGCTTCATCTTTGTCTGTATCAAATAGTTCAAAAGCATCTTTAATTTCTTGTTTCTGTTCCTCAGACAGTTCTCTTCTTTTTTTCCTCTTTGTTTTGTCTACTACAAGCTCACTTCTATGAAATGGAAAGAAAAAGCCCTTAGTCCACTTTAATTCTCTTTACTAACAGAAATTAGCCAATAATTATTTTCTAAATTTCAAAAAAGAAAGTACTTTGGAGAAAGACAGGGAAACTTTCCCTTTATGAGTCAATGCCCTGTTTATTCCATAGTCTAAATTGCTATAAATATGAACTTCCCAAAACTAAAGAGTGTTACAGATTATTAAAAGAAATGAGGACCAAACTTTTCCTTTTCCCAGCTTTTTATTTATTCCCACTTTCCCTAACTTTTTATTTATTCAAGAACTGTGAATAAGCAACATTACTTTTATGTCTGAAACTCCAACCAACTCCAACCAAAAAAAAAACAAAAACACTCACATTATTCTACAAGAATGTTAAAGAAACCAAAAAATCTCCAAATGAAACCAAAATTCGTAACTGACAATCACCATATATCGGTTTACTTTTGATAGTTCTGATAATTAAGTTCATAAAATTACTACAAAAAATACAACTGGATTAACTTATATTTTGGGACTGTTGGTTCAAAATGTTTTTAGATTACACGTTTCTAACAGTTTGGCAATTTATGTATCATTTCCTCCACTGATATTAACAAATCACCCAAAATATTAATGAGTCTAAACATATGACAAATATTAGATGTCAAAAAAGTATACAATATTTGTGCTTCATAAGTCTTGTCTCACTTAAGATGTAAACTGGAGGTTAAACTTCTCATAAACTCTGGAAACGCTTAAAGAAAAAAGCAAAAATTACTTTAAAGCCAGAAATGTTTTCCGTAAGAGCTGCCCATCTAAATGTGCTCCAAGTTTTCCAATGGAGCCGCAACACTGGTATAAGAACAAGTTTTGAAACACACAATCTGGTAACACATTAACATGTCAAAACCAGTTGACTGTATTTAAAACACGTATCTAGCTGCATTTGAAAGTCGTTTTGGTCTCTGAACGCTACAAAAAAAAAAAAAAAAAAAAAAAAAGGCTAGGAAGTGACCAGTAGATGCAGTATGACAAAGCTGAGGAAGATCTTCCTTTCATGAGACCTGACTTGACACAAACTTGGGTATTCCTGGGGTCAGTCTTTTCCTTCCTGAGACTTTTAGAGGCCAAGTCCAGAACCGACCCACCCCTGACCCCATCCAAGGGTACCATGATTATCCCTTAGCAGAACATGGAACATTTTTAGAGTGTCCTAAGTATATGTATAGTTTTACGGTACAACGTCTACGTAGGGGGAGCGGGTAACAGACAGAGGGTTAGAGGTTAGAACTGAAAGGTAAAGAAATGAAAGAAACAGGAAATCCAAGAGACAGTTTGCCAATTAGTCACTAAAATGGGTTTCTAATTACACCGTAAAGCAGGACCTTGGGAGAATAGCAAAGAGTTTTTTGTTATTTCCAAAATTTATAGGTGGATGATTGCATCAGCAGCAGAGCAGCGGAGGTGGGGCCCTGGCCAGGCATACGAATTGAATGAAGGGATGTTCCGCGGCCTGATCTCTCAGAGCAACAGAGTAGAAGCCTCGCGATATTTCATTCCCTCCCCCTCGCTCGCAACTAAGCCCATTTTTTTGGTAGTCCAAAGCCCTACGCGCTGACAGAAATAACCTCCTTAGTAGAAATGCACTGGAAGTCTCGTTCCCTGCAGGGCACCAGAGCCCAGAGGGTGAGTGATCCAGACAGGCTGCCCTAGGCTCCTTTCCCGCATCCCAAACAGCATCCCCTGCCTCGCCACGGCCCCAAACGGCCTCCCTTCCACACACACCCTCCCTAGGTCCCGCTCCGGGGTGTGGAGAGCACTGCCGCCTCCTTATTACCGACCTCAGAGCTAAACTCATTATCTCTTCGGACAGAGTCGTTCCTCTCAAGAAACGATTTTAACCCCCTACCCAAAGCAGCAAGACTCCCACAACCGTTCAACAGACACGAACGACCTCAGCGCCCTCAGGGACCTCCCACAACATAGACACTTTTGAGCTGGATTGGTTGAAATGTCGCTATGGTTCTGCCCATTATGGCGGAAGCTTTACCAATTTTATTTTCATTGGGTACGCTTTACGTCAATCAAGAAAAAAAAAAACCTCTCTCTCCCCGCCCCCCCCCCCCCGCCACCCACCCCGCCCCTCCATTCCTAGGGCCGCTCTCGCCCTTCGGATTGGCCTGATGCCTTTTTCCCCAAATCCTTTGCGGGTCCGGCCTCCGATCCCTGTGTGGTGGTTTGCGTAGTGGGTGCTCCTAGTCTCTCGCGTATTGTCCTGCGGTCTGTGGGCCGACGTTCGAAAACTGGATAGATAACTTGGACGGTGGGAAGGGAAGGGACACGCTGCACGCCACCCTCCGGCTAGAAGGAGGCAGTAGTTGAGGAACAAGGTCTGCGAAGCGTGGCTCTGCTCTGTTCTAAAACTTTGGATGGCTTCAGTACCTGGGGAATGTGTTTAAAATGCAGACTTAAATGCCCCTTTCTCCATTCTAATTTCAGTAGGTATGAATCTGCGTTTGTATTCCTCACAAGCCTTCCAAGTGATTCTGAGGCAGGTGCTGTGACTATACTTGGATTATCACAGGGTTAGATTATCAGGCTATTTATGGTGATGCTGTATCTAAACCGCCCTTCCCTCTCCTTTTCCTCCTTTGAACTGTTTGAAACGGATTTGTTGGCTTCTGTCTCTTATTTTACGGTGCTGTAAATTGTTAATACACGTGAGACTGTATTCACTACCAAACCAAGTCTCCTAAAGCTCACTTGAATGTCTACTTATTCGTCTCCCTTACCAGGTTCAGTTTCTTGAAGGCCATGATTATATCTATTTAACGCTTTTCCTTGTACCTAATAAAATGTCTGGTGCATAGGTGCTCGGTAAATTGAGTGGAATCTTTTGAAAACCCACAAAATACTGAGCTAAACAGCAAATCTCATAAACGGGAATAAAATAGCCTGAGAATGGGAGTTGAAGGCGGAGAATATGTAAACATATGTTTAAGGGATGTATATAAAATTTTAGAGAAGGGAGAGAGCACAAGATGGGCTTCCTAAAGAGGTGGCATAAACGTTAGACCTACAAGGATGGGCTAAATTTGCACAAGTAAAGATAGTATGATAGAACAAGCTAAAAATTAGCTAAGGGATAGCACCCCTAAAAAACAAAAGCGGAACTTTTATTTTGTTCGTATTTTAAATTTTAAAGTACCTTTATAAATCACCTTTGAGTCTAAAAGGAAAGAGAAATTGTAATTACTAGAACATAGTGATATTGAAAAAAACTATATGTTAACATTTTAAGACACAGACCAAACTATAGGAGAACATTATTTTAAATAAGAAAGAATAAAAATAGACCAGGCATTTATTTGAAGATGTTAAAAATGAAGAACAAAATTGTATAATTGAAATTAGGAAGAGGAAATTAGTAAAGTTTGAGAACAACGTTTTAAAAGGAAACTGGTCAAATTGATAAAGTGCTCATAGTCTGGTATAAAGCTGCTTTTTGGCAATACCAGTGAAATTCAAAGACAGGAAATGTAACAAGAAAAGGAATAGTGCCACTAGTAAGGTTAGTAATTTAACAAAAGGGAGGTTTAAAAATTATTAAAATATTTTATACAATTTTATACTGCCAATAAATATTAATAGAAAATGAAATAGTCACTTTTCAAGGAAAACATAACTCAAAAAAGATGGAAAACTGAATTAAGTCAATAACTACAGACAGGACTGAAAAAAAGATGCCAAATTTCTGTACCCTCAAATAAAAAGCCTCCAGCCCACTCAGATTTATGGGTAAAAATCATAAGAGCTAAATCTTGTGCTTTAAACTCAAGTAACAGAAAATGATGGAGAGCTTCTTAGCTTAATTTTTGAAGCTGCCATAATATTTAACATCCTAAAAGAACATTTAAAGTCACTCAGTGTAAGCTTAGTGATGATGAAGGCTATACATGTTGCTCACAATTGTATCCCCAGTGCCTGACTCATATTTGATGTTCATTTGTGAATTTAAGTGCAAAATTCCTAGATGTTAGCAAAATCAGTTTGATACTGTCTTAAAGGAGCATTTCTCTATAACCAAATTGAGTTTTTTTGTTGTTTTTGTTAAGTGCAAAGATAATTCAAAATATAAATCTGTGTTAAATATAGTGTTAAGGAAATCATCTCAGTGTCAAAAGGGCACTGAATAATAGGCAACACTTTTTCTACTAGGATATAAAGTGGGTTTAGAAAATACTTTTTAAAATATGATCGGCAAAATACTTAAACACCAGTGTTCCTCAAACCTCATTCCTGAAACACTAGAATTTTTGAGATGCTTTTGGTCTCAGAGTGAGTTTTATAAGCAAATAATTTGGGCAAACAGATTTTAACATGTTTTCAATAGGGTATCCTTTTAAGAGTGACAGGGAATTTACACGGATCACTTTTATTATATTTAGTGAGAACTAGTGACAACCACTTCTTGCTTCACAGGAGTCAGACAAATCTCTAGATGGAAAACTGCTCTGCTGAAATTTGGGGTCGGATCATCTATTTCTAAAGATAAGACAGGTGATTACACGCATTTAAATCTAAATTCGATGCAATCAAAATTCTCATTTTTCTTGAACAAAATTATTCCAAAGATCCAACAACAGTTGCATAAAAATAGCTTACTAAACTGTGAAAAAGAATAATAATACAAAAATTCCTCTATGGGACAGTAAAATGTATTTGGTACAATGGTAATCAGACCAGAAATTCCAGAGACAGCAAATGTAAATAAAAATTTCTGCTTTGAGAAGGTAGTGACATGAGTGTTTAGTCTGCCTCCTAAAGCCGTAATAAAGCAAGAGTTCCTCTATCACCCACGCTGGTGTACAGTGGCATAGCTCACTGTAACCTCGAACTGGGCTTAAAGGATCCTCCCGCCTCAGTCTCCTGAAAAGTTAGGACTACAGAAGCATGCCATCATGCTCAGCTAATTTTTTTTTAATTTTACACTATGTTGCTATGTTGCCCAGGTTGGTCTAGAACTCCTGGTCTCAAGTGATCCTCCAGCCTCAGGCTCCCAGAGTGTTGAGATTACAGGAATTAGTTCCCATGCCTAGCCAATAAATTTGTTAAGCTGAAGTGACCTGGAGAGGGGCCATCAGCAGACTAGGTATTTCAAACATTATTGGAAAGATCAAAAGAAATGTGGAAACTTGTTGACAAATGAAACAGATCACGGAAGTGGCATCCCATAATTTTTCCGGAGGTGACTGATGTTTCACAGAGAGTTGATCTGCCTGGCAAAGTCCCAGAGAGACTCCAGGAATGGAGTTCTCTTTTACAGTAGAAGGTGAAATGAGAAGGGGGCTAAATACAAAATGCCAATTTAAAACCTCTTTAGGAAACCACTGTACTTCCATTCCTCCAGATTCCTCTCCCCAGTATTTTGTCTCTACCTCTATCTAGAACTCCACTCTTTTTTTTTTTTTCCTTTTTTAGAGACAGGGGTTCTCTCTGTTGCCCAGGCTGTAGTGCAGTGACATGGGCATAGATCATAGCTCACTGCAACCTCACTCAACCTCCTGGGCTCAAGCAGCCTCCCACCTTGCGTCTTGGCCTCCTGAAGTGCTGGGATTACAAGTGTGAGCCACTGCACCTGGCCCAAGTCTTTAAAATGAATGAAGAATGAAAAACCATCAGAGATGTGAAAATCAACAACATGAAAGATGAAACTAAAAACTATTTCAGGAAGACTCTGAGTCAGCTAAGGAACCAAAATAAAATAATAAGAAATTAATAATAATAAGCTTCCTAAGAAGTACTCAAGAAAATATTAGAGAACAAAATACTCTGAAAAAGGAACATCAGATAATAAGAAAAGTCTGTTGAAAATAAACATATGAATGTAAAAATTAAAATGGCAAGATGATTTAATTGAAAAAATATCACAGAACCTGCAGTATTCAAACAAAAACATGGAGAATTTTGGAAAAAAATATGGAAGACTAATTCATTATTTGACTAATAATTTCTGAAAGAGAACAACAAGAGGAGGAGGAGAAAAATATCAGACATTGAAAAGATATTTCAAGGAATTGAAATACAGGTCTCTAAATTGATAGAACACATTTAATACTGAGCAAAATAATAGTAAAAGAACACACCTAGACACATAAAGAAGACATTTCAGAGCATCAAAAATAAAAAGGCCTAAAAGCTTCCAGACACAAGAATCTGACCTTTTATAAAAGAATAAGAACTGAGCTAGTATCAGATTTCTCATCAGAAACTTTAGATACCAAAAGATAATACCTTTAAAATTGTAACTGAAAATTATTTTGAACTTAGAACTCTATTTCCTGTCAGAACAAAAAATAAAGTGTGAGTACATAACAAAGAGTTCAGAAAGTTCAATTATCATATACTCTTTCTGAAATATGTACTTCAGAAAAGTAAGAATGAAATCCAAAAATAAGGTAGATGTAAAATACAAGAGTGTGGCATAGAATGACTGACACATCAAAAATGTCCATGTCCTCCTAATCCTTGAAATTTGTTAATGTTACTTTGCATGGAAAAACGAACTTTGTAGGTGTAATTAAGGTTATTGAATGGTTTTACTAGGCTTTGGGCTTTTAGGTCCTTAACAATCTTTTGGAGTCCTTGTTGGGCCTCAGGTCTAAGCAGGTACTGGCTTTGGTAGGGAAAGGAGGCGGAATCCTTTAGTTTAACTTGAATGGGACAGGATTCTTTGCTCGTCCATATTGTCCTCCTGTTGCCCAACTTCCGGATTAATTCCTTCCTCACGTAGGGGACAATCAACTGTGTTCCTTCTCTTATGTTCAGGTGTATAATGGCCCCTGCTTTTGCTAGGATGTCTTTCCCTAACAAAGGAGTGGGCTTTCAGGCATAATTAGAAAGGCATGTGAAAAGAGTAAAGTTCCCCAGTCACAACTTAGTGGCTGGGAGAAGTATCTAGTGACTGCCTGTCCTAG